CAAGTCTTACTACAGAGTCTTACTAGAGTCTTACCACAAGTCTTACTACAGAGTCTTACTAGAGTCTTACCACAAGTCTTACTACAGAGTCTTACCACAGAGTCTTACCACAGAGTCTTACCACAAGTCTTACCACAAGTCTTACTACAGAGTCTTACTACGGAGTCTTAACTACAAGTCTTACTACAGGGTCTTACTATAGAGTCTTACCACAAGTCTTATGACAGAGTCTTACTAGGGTCTTACTACAGAGTCTTACTAGAGTCTTACTACAGAGTCTTACTACAGAGTCTTACGACAGTCTTACTACAGAGTCTTACCACAAGTCTTACTACAGAGTCTTACCACAAGTCTTACTACAAGTCTTACGACAGAGTCTTACTACAGAGGGTATTTCTGAGTTTTACCATGTTTGTGATTGGGAGTGAAGATGCCCATGTATTCATTTCTGGGTTTGTATATATATATATGAGGGGGTACCCCCCTCCAAAAAATATTTTTTTCCTCCAAAACTACCATATATACTCATGGATAAGCCGAGTTTTCAGCACATTTTTTAATGCAGTTTTTGTGGTAAAATTAGATGCCTTGGATGATATTTGGGTCAGCTTATACTCGAGTACATATATATTCATTTTAATTTTTTTACAAAACAACCTTATCACCTTCAAAGTACTCTCCATTACACTTAATGCATTTGTCAAATCTGCAATTCTATTCTTGAAACATCTTTCAAACTCATCTGTTTGGATGGCTGACAGTACCTCCCTTGTTTTTTACTTCATCTATTCTACGCCTTCAAATCGCTGTCCTTTCATGTCCCTCTTCATTCGCAGGAACAAAAAGAAGTCACAGAGTGAGGTCAGGTGAGTAAGGTGTATCTGGCAAGAGAGGCATGCTGCTTTTGCCAAAAACTGGGGCACTGAGATGGCTGCATGAGCAGGTGGCAAAACCACTCCCCCATCATCCAGAAATCAGGCCTTTTTTGTCACACCCTGCTGCACAATCTTTTGAGAACCTCTAAATAGAAAGCTTGATTAGCAGTATGACCTGGTGGAATGAACTCCAAATGCACTTTCCCCCCTCACATCAAAAACAGATGAGCATTATCTCGATCTTTAATTTCACTTGACAAGCTTTTTTGAAGTGAGGTGCTGATGTCATCCACTGGCTTGATTGGTGTTTGCTTTGGGAGTGGTAAGAACCACACCATCTCTCCTCACCAGTAATGACTTTGGGAAAAAGTCTGGGCCCCTTCGGAGCTGTTCTCTCGAAGCACGGCATGTTTCCATCTATGCTCCTTTGGCTGGTCATCACCCAGGGCACAAATTACACAGCGACCCTTTTCGTCCCCAAATCTTCCATTAAAATTTGCTGAACTGAGCCCCAAGATAGTCCAGATAACTTCCCCATCTCTTCAATGGTCCATCGTCAGTCTTCAAGCACAAGTCCCTGAATTTTGTCGATGTTTTTGTCCATTCGGGAAGTTGACGCGCGTCCTGAACCAGACTTGTTATCCCTCAACATGTCACCTTTTTTGAAAGGAGAAAACCACTCATACACTTGAGTTTTCCCCACGGTGCTGTCCTCGTAAGCTGTGTTCAACATCACAACAGTTTCTGTGGTGTTTTTCCAGGACGGGAAGCAAAATTTCACAGCCACATGCTGTTCTCTTAAATCGGCCATCACAAAAAACGAGGTTCGAGCGAAACTGTTTTTACGAAAAAATTCACTGTGATCAGAGAGAACTTTTCCCAGGCAACACCACTGCTTGACCTCCTCGTTGACAACCAGCACTGCTTACTACTCCCACTTACTGTTTCTCTTCCCTTTGACTTTGGGTCATCAGTCACTCCTGACCCTCCTGGCTCTGGGGACGTTTTATTCTCCTGTCCTGCATTCTTTGTACTCTTCTTTTATCTCACATTTTATTTTATTTTGACATTTACAGTATTCTCCAATATCTCTTTTTAAATTAAAAAATGTTTTTTAAATCATGTTATGGGGGGCTCTTACAGCTCCTATAACATTCCATACATCAATTATATCAAGCATTTTTGTACATATGTTTCCATCATTTCCAAAACATTTTCTACTTCAGCCCTTGGTATAGCCTCTCTTTTTCCCCCTCTCTCCCCCACCCTCGTGAATCTTTGATCAATTATATGTTGTTATTATTATTTTGTGTCTTACACTGTCCATTGTCTCCTTTCACCCACATTTCTGCTATTCGTCCCTTTAGGGGATAGGCTATATATCCAATCTCATGGTGGTTCTCCCTTTCTCCCCCTTCCCCCTCCCTGGTCATCCCCCTACCTTCATGGTATCGCTACTCCCACTATTGTTCTTCAGGGGTTTATCTTTCCTGAATTCCATGTGCCTAGAGCTCTTATCTCAGTGGTTCTCAACCTTGCTAAAGCCGCGACCCTTTAATACAGTTCCTCATGTTGTGGTGACCCCAACTATAAAATTATTTTCATTGCTACTTCATAACTGTCATTTTGCTACTGTTATGAATTAGGCGACCCCTGTGAAAGGGTCGTTGAGAACCACAGGTTGAGAACCGCTATCTTATCTGTACCAGTGTGGGTTCTCCGGTCTAGCCAGATTTGTAAGGTAGAACTGGGTCATGTGGAGTGGGGTGGGGGGGATTCAGGAGCTAGAGGAATGATGTGTGTTTAATCGGTGTGTTGCTGCACCTTTTGAATCATCCTCTATTTCCTTTCACTCCTCCTGCCCCATTATCATGCTCACCCTCCATTCAGCTGTCAGTATTTCTTTCAGATACATTGCACTTGATTAAACCCCACCAGGCATTATACACCCTCCCCGCCATCAATTTTAGATCTCTTGTTATTCCCTCATTCTTGAGTCTGTTGGGTTCCCACTCCCCCACCCCCCTCTCCTCTCCCATGTCCCCCCAGAATTGTAGGTCCCATTGTTTTCTCCTTGGGATTGTTCGTCCTGCCTATCTTATATAGACAGACATAGGGCAAAAGAAAAACCGAAAAGAAAACAAGAAAAAAAAAAACCAATAATAGTTCCAGGTCTGTCTGCTGACCCTTATGTATGTTTTCCAATCAAGTCTGATGAGGCGCCAAGGCCTGTCCCCGAGTCTGAAGTCTGTTTTCAGGATTCCTCGGGGACTGGGTTACTTTGCTCCCCTTGCTGCCCTGTTGCCCTCCCTTTGCATTTCACCCCGCTGTGCAAGGGGCAGACGAGGCACACTTTCCACACAGTGTCTCCAGTGCTGTCCCCCACAGTGCTATGGGTCAGTGAGGGCGTGTCGTGTCCTGTGGTGGGGCTGCCCCTGCAGTCCTCTCTGAGCATTTCTCTGTGTGGTCTGGACAGAACCCCCTTCCTCCCCGAGCTGTATCTTCAGTGCTGCCCTCTGTATTGCCTTCTTCTGGGGTGGGGTACACTCTTCCTTAATACGCTATGTGCCCGCCCTGGGAGAATACTTCAATCCCCATGATTTTCATGACTATGCATCGAGCAAAGGCAAACTCATTGCCCTCAAGTCCGTTCTAACTCATAGCAGCCCCATAGGATGGGGTAGACGTTTCTGCGACCTCAAATCTCTACGGGAGTAGAAAGCCTCGTCTTTCTCCCAAGGAGAGGCTGGTGGCTTTAGAGCTGCCAACCTTCTGGCTAGCAGCCCACCATTCCAATCCCCTTTTGGAAAATAGCTCATATCCTACAAGCAAATTACCTACAATTTTCAAGTCTTCGTTTCCTCGATCTACTCCAAGAATGTATCTCCTCCTCAGTCACACGGGCGGTGCTTCATTCCATTGTGCATCAGGTTGCTATTGGTTGGAACCAACTCAAAGGAACCTAACAACAACAGTGCCTCGATGGTGAGGTGAGCATGAAGCTACCCACTTGACAGAATTACAGGAAAACTTAATAAATAAATACCTAGCATACTGGACGCCATGTAGAAAGTGCTCAATTTGCATTAATTATTGTTTTTCCTCTCCTTCCATTCCCATTTGACACATATAAATATGTATCCATCGACTTACCAGACAGCTCTACAAAAAAAAGTTTTATGCATTTTTCAGACTCGACGTATCTAAAACTAAACTCATCTTCCCCAAAAAACTTATTTTAATTTGTATTGAGAAATAAATGAATGGACAATTGCATTTGAATGAGGGTGTTGGCAAAGAATATTGAAAGTACCAGGGGCTGACAAAAGAACAAACAAATCTATCTTAAAAGAAGTACAGCCAGATGCTCCTAAGCGGCAAGGATGGTGAGACGTGATCTTACATAGAGACCCGTCCATGGAGAAGGACATCATGCTTGGTAAAGTAGAGGGCAGAGAAAAAGAGGAAGCCCTTCGACAAGATAGATGGACACAGTGACTACAGTGATGGGCTCACACATAAGAACAATTGTGAGAGTGGCCCAGGACCAGGAGTGTTTCAGCTGTTGCACACGGGTGGCTATGAGCTACAATCAACTCAACAGCACCTAACAACACACAGTTGATAAATTTAGACATGTCTGTGCATCCATGAAACCACTGCATAAATCAAGATACAGATTATTTCCAGCACCTCGGAGACTCCCTCATGTTCCCAACAGCCATCATTCCCCCAAAGGTAACCACTAGTCTATCTATTATTATTGATTAGTTTTTACTATTGTTTGAACTCTGGTAGCGTAGTGGCTCCAAATTAGGCTGCTAACCACAAGATTGACAGAAAAACACCAGTTGCTCTGTGGGAGAAAGATGGGGCTTTCTGCCCCCATTAAAAGTTACAGTCTCAGAAACTCACAGGGGCAGTTCTACCCTGTCCTACAGGGTCACTAAGAGTTAGCACCCGCTCGACGGCAGCAAGCTTGTTTCTTGTTCTGTGTGACTACTGTTGAACTTTATGCATCCCCCAATCTCATGTCGCCTCTGTTCCCTGTTGCTAGCCATGGTCTGAGTACATATCCCGTTCCTTAAGTCTCGAATCATTCTTGACTTTTTCCTTTTCCTTTATCCTTACCACCTACTTATCAACAAATACATTGAGTTCATTGTACTGACAGTCTTCAAGTCTCTCCTACCTTGGTTTTGACCTCATCATTCCCTTTCTAGCCTGTCCATTCTTTGCTCTCAGCACACTAAACTACTCACTATAACTCCCAACCCAGCAACTCAAGAGGCATCATATACTCACGTCTCTGTGCTCTTGCTGTGCCTTGATTATAATTTATGTAGCACCAAGTAATCGCTGCAAGTAGTTCCTTGCTTAGTGTGTCCTTCTTTAGACATGTGGACCATGTATTTCATTAGACCATATTTTTCATTAGACCACGTATTTCACTAGACCACGTGTTCTCAGACCCTAGTCCTGTAACTGGCATCTTGTATGCAGTTCATGTTAGCAAGGTGATTAATAAATCCAGTGTCTCTGCTTAGATGCATAATGTTGCTTCCTCAGCTTGGAATCTGTCTTTGTGCCACCAGCACCCTTTCTGGTGAGTGAGAATCTCTGGTGAGTGAGAATTATTGGTGGCATGGTTTACTGGCTGAGTCCCAAGAGTTCTGGTGTTGAGGGTGTACAACCCGAGTGTGTATCAGCAGGAGTAGTTGTCTGTGAAGATGGGGGGGGGGTGTATCTGTCAGATTAAACGTGTTTCTCTTCGGTTGGGAGAGCTATAGACGGGATGAGGCTCTCTTTCTGCTGGATGCAGGTTTTGGGTCAGTGAGGCTCTTTGTGTTGTTGCGAGATGCCTTCCATTTAGCTCCGACTCAAGTGCCCATTGTTGAAGCCACTGGGTCAGACCATCTCATTTTCCTTTTTTAAGATCATCTTATTGAGGACTT